TCTCCCTGGTACACTTATTTAACTCGAGCCTGCTCCCCCATCTGTGCTACTCGAGGCGTTATTCACCCTCCCCTGCGTCTGTGTTACTAATTCAAGGTTAAAGCCTCCGAGTAAGTGTCATGGTCATGCCTTTGCTACATTGACCACGTCTCTTGTAAAACCTACTGTCAGCCAACTAGCTCCAATCGCTCCGCATTTATCCTGTCTCTATCCTTAATACTAAGTCTATAACTTGCCATGCCCTAGTCTCTTATGTGCCAACCCACACATTTTGTGGTACTGCTTGTTTTGATTAGGTTCAATGTTGAACCACAACGTTTCCGGGTTTAACATACAACATTAAATCTAATCAAAGCAAGCAATACCAGAACATTTGTGGGTTGGCGCACAGGGAAAGAGGATTATGTTACAATATAGCAGACTCTGATCAACATTCCCAGCACAAGGGTGAAGGGGGTGAGAACGACAGCGTGGAATGTGAAGGGTTTTCATGAATGCCACTCGAAGGAGCACACCATATTACATCAAAATAGGCACAGTACAAAGTGTAACAGTGAAGGCGTGATAGGAGGATATAGGAAATGTAAATAGCCTAAGGCAGAAGGAGAGATAACACAACTCTTGAGCATACGTTTGGTCAAAGGATCGGCTTCACTTGCCTCTTTAACGAGCTGTACTATGGTGCTAAATATGGTGAGACTCACTAACGATGCCGATTACGATGCCGGCGAAACGTCTGGTAAATTATCACGTCCTCGGTTCGACTTTGGAAATGTTTATACATACAATGGACTCCAGACTAGGTGCGTTACTCTAAGTCTTCCTACCAATATGGCTAAGTTGCGAAAACAAGGTTAAACAACTTTAAGTAAAGTTTTGTTTTGTGTTGATCTAAGTTACTTGGTATTTTTATTTCATAAATGGAAGTTTTGAAATTTGGGAACAAAGATTGGGAGCATAATGAATGGATAAAGAGATAGAGAATGATTAGCCAAATATGGTAACACGTAAGTTGGAGTGTTATGACAAAGAAGTTAGAGCTCAACAATGAGTATATTATAGAGATAATTGTTTAAAAGGCATGACATGATTCAGCCATGTTGAATAGGATCTATGCGCCTTTATATTTAAGATATGTCCCACGTGTTTGGTTTTGGATATATTTACTTTCGAGCTATCAGAATATCACTTGGACGATAAATAATGACATTGATCGGCATGAGTAAATGCAGCATTTTGCAGCACAAACCTTTCACTAAATTAGTCCCTTCTATGTAAATAACTAAGATAAACTAAAATTTAAATCTTTTGTGTTCAACCTGCTGCTTAAATATCGCATCATATATTGGTCTTTTATCTACTATCAGACCTTTTATAAGCCGTTCTAACCCCAAATCAGACCTACGGCGCTAATCGGAAGCCAATGTTCATACAATAAAAAAGGAAGTATGAAAAGGCAAAATTTCATCAAAATTACATATCCATAACGCCTTCGCGTAACATTTGAAATATCTTTTCATCATCGTCATTGACAACCGCATCGTCGTTGCTCCTTGATCACCAAAAAGCAAGAAGCACAGGCTGAAGCTATGTATATAAACAAACAAATTCTTAAAAAAGTAACTCCACGTTAGAGCATCATACCATTTCAGCAAAATACCTGCCATTTTTTGTGAGATAACTAAGAGATACACACTTATTCATCATCGCTCCACGAGAGGACAGCTTACAAAACCAGCATCTTAATTTCTTAATAAAACATTCGATATAAGATTACCATTAAGTCCTAAGCAAGCTAATATACGCAAAATCTAAGCAAATTACAGAGGCGTTTGAATTTTGATGTTGTAAAACTTTGTTAAATACCGTTTTGCCTTTCATATATGATTCCGCGATATTTGAGGTATTGTGCTCCGCCTAACTCGCATGCCTGTTAAACAGCTAACTAATCTGGCTTCTTTCGAAAATGAGCTTAAGTCGGCGCACACAAAAAATAAATTGCTAGTTGTAGACTATTTTGCAAATTGGTGTGGACCCTGCTTACGAGCCGCTCCTATTTTTGAGTCACTTTCAGACAAATATGCGTCATCAAACGTCATATTTGCCAGGGTTGATACTGATTTATCACCAGATATATCAAGTAAACATAATATAAGTCGATTGCCAACTTTTAAATGCTTTGAAAATATGAGCTGTGTATGGACTGTCACAGGTAGGTTATGTATTCATGGACCACACATCTTGAGCATTATTTTATTTTTAATTTACCCATATAATTTATAATTTTTCAGGGCTTGATCTGAATGAGGTCACAAGACTTATTGATGAATCAATAGTGGAAGATTCTGTAAGAGAAATAAATACGTGCCAAGATTCTAATGCGCGTTTGAGAGCTTTAGCGGCATTGAAACGAATAGCCGGAAATATTATTGAACATCCTTTGGAAAAAAAGTATCGTTCAATAAACTTGAGCAACAAGCTCTTTGAGTCAACTCTTCTTGTTGTCCCTGGGGCAATGCAGTTTTTATTCTCTATGGGGTTTACGGTACTTTATAGCTTCTCCAATTTTGAAAACCTTGACCTTATTTTTATAAAGTTTAATTGAGATGAATATTTTTTTCCATAAACTACTATCTGTATAAAGATGATAAATCTTT